CAAACTGCCAGACCACAGTAACCATCCATAATGTTTTCAATGAGCACGTCTTGAAAAAATATTTAAAATGACGTCTTCAGCAGCGTTAGCAGCATTAGCAATGTTAGCAACGTTAGCGTTAGTTTTTGTTGCTGGATGATGACATCACAACAAAAGCGGAGCACCTTTACCATTTCGCTGCAACATTTAGGTTTTAATATGTACATATCACATTTAGCAAAATAAATAAATAAATAAATAAATAAATAAATAAATAAATAAATGTAAGAACAGTGAGCTGAATAACAAAATGTTAGTGGGATACTTTTAACTAGGATTTTACATTCAGAAAGTGAGCTAAGTAATGAAAATGTGCAGTGACATTTTTTAACATTATGTTTTACACAGGGATTTAATTTTCTGAATTTGTGTGCTCCTTTCAGCCAAGCATTTTGCTTTTAAAAACTTTCAATTTGTCCACTATAGTCATTACTTTGGACATGAATGACATAATTATCTCCCACTGCTGAAGGCTAAGCAACAATGATTTTTCGATTAAAAAAGAATCTAATCAAATTTTAATGAAATCGTTACAAATTAACCCTTGAGCTGACATCTATAACTGGTTAACAACGGTCATCAAAGCAAAGAGATTTTAGGAAGGACGAAATATTTGATTTAACTCAAGACAAATTTACAGACACAGAGACACAATTTAGTCTAGTAGCTGAGAATAATTGACAACACACAGTGGTCATAATTATGTTTAATTGTGRCTGCAACTTCTTATGTTACATACCATTGTTTTAGTCTAAAATTTTGGCATGAAAAGTGGCAGGAAATGTGCATTCTTTCAAGAAATGCTAGACCTTTTTTTCTTTTAGGGTTTTCCCCTGTAAGATATTAATGCTTTTGCAGGGTCAAGAGGTCAAACAGCCTGGAAAAGAGGCAAAAGGTCACTAAGAGCCTTAAAATTCTGATTATTAATCATCTTTTTTGCAGTAAAATAAAATATAAAAGCTTTGAAAGTTTGTCAAAATGTAGAACAGGATTTTATGCGGTTTATCTTTTACAGAACAACTTTTTTTTCCTTGTTTATTTGCAACCTTTACTCACATCATGGTTTGTTTTAGAAACACTCTTTTGAGAATCACTGCTTTAGTGTAAAAATTACTTCAGTCCTCGTGTTTTCTGCGGCTTCCAGGAACACTTGCGCTAAATCTTTGAACAAATCTTTAGTGTTACGTTTCACTTCTGCTCTTCTGTTTTGTTGTGTAGTCGTAAAGGAAGCAGCTGGTGTTTCTTCACACGGTGCACTCGGTGTCTGTGAATGGGCAGATTGGAAACACAGCAGCCTAAATAACAACGATGAGCTCATGAGTGATTTGCATGCTTTCAAACAACTCCAAAGAGTTTATTTCATGAATCCAAACCACTTCACATTGTAAAGTCATGTGTTCAGACCTGTTGCCTCTGCAGGCGAGGGGGAAGGGGGGCTTCAAAAAGCAGCCTGGGATGGTTTTTGTGGGCCAGCAGATGTTCTATTGTTTAGCCCYGCGGTGTAAGGTTGCTTCAGTTAAGTTTGGGACTCTTTTTCTGCATCTTTTGAATTTTACCCCCTTTCTGTGCCATCAACCAGCGTCCACCCACCCTCTCTCCTTCCCTACAAACTCCAAAAGGGGGTTCTCCCTTCCCCCTTTAACCCCCGACTGTCCTCGCAGTTGCTGCCCCTCCATCACAACTTTACAACTTTTTTTTTTGTATCTTCACAGGTCACACCCTCAGCACTCATTCTGTTTATTGACCCAGACTGAGGTTGTATTTGCATCTAAATGAATACCTGCTCAGCATTTTCTTCTTGCTTACAACTCCCCCCACCAAAACACTGTTGTCATCGGGGCCCGAGAGACCACCACCGTGCAGCTTACGTAATAATCACTGCCTCTGTTTCCTCCTTCGTGTGTGAAAAAGAAAGAAGCCAGGAGACGCAGAAAAAAAAAAGCAGCGCAGTCTTCCTGTTTTTGTGTCAAAAACAGGGAGGCAGGAAGTGAGAGGTACACGCTGCTGCTGAGTCCCCGACGGCTTACCAGTGCCGCAGATTTTAGGAAGGCCGGGTTGACTCGAGGCCGCGGCATCCCTGAAACCTAATAATAACAAATCCAATTACGTGGCTGCCAATTGTCAGCGCTGCCAGGTCAGCGAATGACCTTTGTTTGATGCCAGAAGGCCGCCCTGCAGCAACAATAGAAGGAAAAAGGCTGTGATGGTCTCCGACGGCAGCGTGTGTATGTGATTGGACGTGGTTTTGAGCAGAATCCCAGTAAGAACAAAGAGCCTGGTGGTGGCCAACATGCCTGAGTGGCTGTTTTAAAGGGCTGATTAAGGTTATAATAGTCATCTGCCTTGTTTCAAGGCTGGAGGCGGTGCAGAGGGGGGTGGGGGGTGGAGCCTAATATAAAGTAGGGGGGTTGTCCGGGCTCTTTGTTCTGGCCTCCTTTTGTCTCCACCCACAGACAGCTTTATCCTCTTACAGACTCGCGCCAAAACAGCATAGCGTTGCATTTTTTTAAATTTTCCTTCTGCTTTTTCTACCCTAACGTCCTTCCCCATCTCCGTTTTTTTTTTTTTATGTTTTGTTTTCAAGAAATACTTCACTTATTACATGGCTCCAAGGCAACTAAATGCTCACCGAGGCCTGCTCGTTTGCTGGGTTTGTTATATTTCCCCCTCCCCGCCCCCTCCTCCTGCGTTTCCCGCCACTGCAGGGAGCTCGGCTCAGGGCGGGGAGAGGTGACACAAAGCCGGGACGAAGACAAGGCTGCCTCCTCCTCCTCAGCTTCGCGCCAAAAGCCGGTGTTATTCAAATCATCTCAGTGGGCGCGGCCCAACTGTCTCCATGTCCTGTTAAGAACACACACTCAAACACACATATGCACGCAGACACACACAGTTGAAGCCTATTTATTTGTATTAAAATTTGGGATTTAAACATATGTTTATTTCAAAGTTTAATGTTTTAAAGGGGTAATTAACTGTATAAAGCTTTGCATATTACAGTATATAAAGCTTTATGTTCAGTTATCAGGTCAGATGAAACAACAGACGTAAAGCGTCTTTTGTAAACAAGAGTGTTTGTGGTTAAAATAGGAGTATAGATACTCAAATGCAAACGTTTTCARTCCAACTTCCTCCTTATAGCAGTTTTTGTCTCACATCCTCTTTGTTTACAACAGACTGAAAACATGAATGAAACTAGAGAAGCTTTCAAAGATGCTGAGATTCTTTCTGACGCTCTGCTGCCCTCTAGTGGCTCCGAGCATCAACTGCACCAACTGACTTTTTTTTATTGCAAATATGCCTCCAGCTTTCCTCTATTCACACATGCATTTTGTTGCAAATGAGTTTTTATTTTATTTTATTTTAAATTACAGCCCATGGTTTTGGAATCCAGGTTTTTCATGACCAAGTATTAATTTTAAATTAAAAAAAGGTTTAACAAAGGATTAAGTCTCAGTGTGGTGTGTGAGAAATAGGCAGCTAAAGTGTTTGGGTTAAACATTTGTCAAAACGTAATGAGTAAACACAGGTTGTTTAAATGAAATATTGGAAATATAATTTTATACCACTTTTCTGAAGCCCTTTATCGAGCAGTAGCTGCAAAAAAAAAGAGTTTTTTATTTTCCCTGCGAGCTAGCAAAGTTTTTCTTTCTTGCTGGTAAATCTAAATTACATTTTGTGGTTTCTTCTTCAAAATTACATCAAAAGTTCCTCATTAGAATAATCTAAAATTAGGATTCAGACCAAACGTTAATGGTTTATCCTGATTAGGAAGACAAATCAAAGTCTCTCTCATGATATCAGGATGATTCAGTTATCAAAGTAAATCATTAAAAGCAGCGATCTGAAAATCTGCTTTCATCATTTTGACCAGATTTGTCCTCAGTTTGACGTGATGGGTCATACGTCTTTTAACAGAACTAAAGTATTTGGATTTAGCCACAACTTTTTGCACATTTGACAGTTTTTACACGTCTGCTGTTATTTGTAGCATGTATAATTTTTATTCTTATGACAACACTACAGCCTTCTGTTTTGAATATTGTTCAGTCTTAGTATCAGGTGTCATGGAAGCAGATGTTTTTTCTAGTCTGCAGCTTTCGGTGAAGAAAAGTTGTTTCTGTAGGCTGTGAATTTCTACTTAACAAATAAAAAAAACATCCAGTTATTACAAACAATGGCTCAGTGTGTATGATGGAGCACAATAAAGATCTTTTATTCATACATGGATGAATAAAYCTGATTATTTATCAGCAATAAAAACAGGATCAGTTTTCAAAACTGCATCAAACTGYAAAAAGTGTCAAAATAGCAAACCAATATATTCCTTTATTTGGCTTTTAATGTGTTTTTTTTTTACATCTAATCAGAACAAAACAAAACAAAAGGACAAGATAAAGGTTTTATTATTTTAAAAGTTAACACAGTTTTATTAGAAATGGAGTTTATCCTCTCATACAATCAGTTGACGTTATATTTTGTTTGAACATAAATCAGTTCACCATACAGTTACAGTATATATTATTATTATTGTTGTTATTATTATTATGTTAATTTTACTTTACGTTCTCCTCCTATATTAAAAAAGATGTCCTTGATGGATCCAGTTGTGTCATTGTGTGTTATTAATATTACTTTAAATATATTTTGCTCCTGTAGTTTTGTCTGTTTAATCTCTTTCCTCCCAGATCTCACCTGCAGGCTGCAGATCATCTGTTTATATGAGATAAAAGCGGAGCYAAAAGAATTAATGATGATTTTATTCTCTTCAAAGCACAGCGTGTTCTTTCATCTCTGCTGCCTGCATCACCTGCCTGTTTCTCTAAGCCACCGTGTGTGTGTGTGTGTGTGTGTGTGTGTGTGTGTGTGTGTGTGTGTGTGTGTG